TCAGAACATATATTATGCCCAAGCGATGATAAATCATTAAAAGACATGATGTTGAAAGCTTATCATATACAGTGTCGGTACATGGGAAGTACAATAAAAGTTAATAATAATGGTGTGTTTTTAAGTCTTCACTTTTTCCTTTAAAATATCTGTTCACTGTAGGCTCTGTTTCCTTAGCACTGTTCTGATAGGTGTGTGTGACCCTTTATGGGTATCTCACGGTATGTACCGTTGTGCTCTCATTTCGTATGCACTCTTTTAAGAATCAGAATCTACTGAGGAGCTGCCTAAGACGCTCGCTTTTCTATTTGGAATCTCTTCTTACTCTCCGTCCCAAAGGTTAATCCACCATAGTTTGTATCAGAACTTAGTATGTGTGGTCCTTTTAACTCTTTTGAACTCTTTTCCTATGTAGACATCATAGGATCACACTTGTGTTTTTTCTCAGCTTCTCAAAATGCAGCTGAAGTAATTTTACTGAAATACCAAGGGGAAGAGTTGAGAGATGCTTTAGAACTGCACTGTCCAGTAGGCAGTGATTAGCAACACATAACTACTGAGCCTTGAAAAGCGACTAGTCCAAACTCAGATGGGCTCTAAGTGTGAGCGACACAGGGGATTTCAAAGACTTAGTATGAAAAAAAGTGACTACCTCATTAATAACTTCATATTGATTATATGTGAAGTGATATTTTTGATATTTTGTGTTAGATAAAATATATTTTAAAAATTAACTTTACATTTTTCTTTTTATTTCTTTAATGTTGTTTATCTTAAAAAAATTTTTTTTTATATTGTAGTGGTTTTTGCCATACATTGACATGAATCAGCCATGGATTTACATGTGTTCCCCATCCCAATCCCCCCTCCCACCTCCCTCTCCATCCCATCCCTCTGGGTCTTCCCAGTACACTAGCCCTGAGCACTTGTCTCATGCATCCAACCTGGGCTGGTGATCTGTTTCACCCTTGATAGTATACTTGTTTCAATGCTGTTCTCTCAGGACATCCCACCCTCGCCTTCTCCCATAGAGTCTGTACATCTGTGTCTCTTTTTCTGTTTTGCATATAGGGTTATTGTTACCATCTTTCAAAATTCCATATATATGTGTTAGTATACTGTATTGGTCTTTATCTTTCTGGCTTACTTCACTCTGTATAATGGGCTCCAGTTTCATCCATCTCATTAGAACTGATTCAAATGAGTTCTTTTTAATGGCTGAGTAATATTCCATGGTGTATATATACCACAGCTTCCTTATCCATTCATCTGCTGATGGGCATCTAGGTTGCTTCCATGTCCTGCCTATTATAAACAGTGCTGCGATGAACATTGGGGTGCATGTGTCTCTTTCAGATCTGGTTTCCTTGGTGTGTATGCCCGGAAGTGGGTTTGCTGGGTCATATGGCAGTTCTATTTCCAGTTTTTTAAGGAATCTCCACACTGTTCTCCATGGTGGCTGTACTAGTTTGCATTCCCACCAACAGTGTAAGAGGGTTCCCTTTTCTCCACACCCTCTCCAGCATTTATTGCTTGCAGACTTTTGGATAGCAGCCATTCTAACTGGCGTGTAATGGTACCTCATTGAGGTTTTGACTTGCATTTCTCTGATAATGAGTGATGTAGAGCATCTTTTCATGTGTTTGTTAGCCATCTGTATGTCTTTGGAGAAATGTCTGTTTAGATCTTTGGACCATTTTTTGATTGGGTCATTTATCTTTCTGGAATTGAGGTGCAGGGGTTGCTTGTATATTTTTGAGATTAATCCTTTGTCTGTTTCTTCATTTGCTATTATTTTCTCCCATTCTGAAGGCTGTCTTTTCACCCTGCTTATAGTTTCCTTTGTTGTGCAAAAGCTTTTAAGTTCCATTAGGTCCCATTTGTTTATTTTTGCTTTATTTCCAGTATTCTGTGAGGTGGGTCATAGAAGATCTTGCTGTGGTTAATGTCAGAGAGTGTTTTGCCTATGTTCTCCTCTAGGAGTTTTATAGTTTCTGGTCTTACATTTAGATCTTTAATCCATTTTGAGTTCATTTTTGTGTATGGTGTTTTGTGTATGGTGTAAGTGTTCTAGTAAAAATATGGAACGCTTCACAAATTTGCGTGTCATCCTTGCACAGGGGCCATGCTAATCTTCTCTGTATTGTTCCAATTTTAGTATATGTGCTGTCGAAGCGAGCACTAATGTTGTTTATCTTGTATTTTTATCAGATAGTGCTGCTTTAGAGAAGCGCAAGTCACATATTTAAACTTAAGACTGAGCTAACCTGCAATAAAGGAAGCTGTTTCATGTAAAAAAGGAATTATTTGACAAAATGGTTTGATCACTGACATCTATTAAATTGTAGGGATTTAGGGTACTAAGGATTAATTTTTGGAAAATTCTGGTCTAAAAAATTAACTAGGCCTAGAATTACTCTTGCTAGCCCTAATTAAATTGAACACAATGTGAGATATATATATATAAAACTCAAAGATATATATGATACATATATATATATATATATAAAAGATACATATATATAACTCAAAAGCTACCACACAACTTGATTTTATTGGTTAGTAACAATTGAATTGAGAGTGATATTTTTGCTTCATATTTTTCTACCTTTTCAGAGATTAAATTCCACGGAATACAAATCATGTACTTATTGTGGGATCTGTTTCATTAATTGAATCTCTCAGTTCTTACCCAGAAAGCTCCACTCAGGCAATGACTGAAGTATCACTTCACCTCTCCTCCCTTTTCCTGAGGGCAAGCCTCCCTCCTCTCAGCTCAGAACCACAGAATCCTGTTAATTGGCCACATGCTGCCACTGTTGCCTCTCACCAGTTTATCTCCCATCTTCCAGGGTAATCTTGTAAAATTAAAAATAAGTCAGATTGACTTTCTGCTTAAAATTTTTCAATGTTTTCCATTGCATTTAGGGGAAAAAAATCTAAAATTTTATTGTGGCCTGCATGACGATCAGACTGTTCTTTCCTAAGTGGTCCCACACCTCAGGCTGGTTTTCCTCAGTCACTTTATTTTCTGTCCATTTGCAGGGCTTCTATTCACTTTGCTTTAAGAGGCCTTTACCAAACTGTCCTGAAGCTTTCCCTTTTTTATCAGATTGGAAGATATCCAGACAAATATATTCTTCCTCCTCTTGGTGAGACAGACTTCATCCTTGGCCAAGAGTTCTTCAACGTGTAATTGTAGACCGTCCGGGAAACTGCATCCTCTCTTCCTCACCACCGTCTTAGTAAACAGCCCTTTACTTCTATATTCATTTTTCTTTCAAAGTCTCATTCCAGCTCTTTTTCTTGTTTCTTGAGTAAGACTTCTTGAATGTTAGATACTTTTTTAGGACTCTTGAAGAAATAGTATTAGCCCTCAAAATCAGTAAGTTTGAGTAGTGGTTGGACTTCTGTCATGTTAAACTTTTGTCTATTTTAACATGAACTGGTGAGGAGAATAAAGGCCTTTTCTCTCAAGCGTGAGAATACAGAGGACATAGATCTGTGTGCAGAATCATCCAGGAAAAATGCCAGCAGCTATGCCCAAGGAAGAAATTGTGCCCATCACAAACTGGGTATTTCTCTGATCACCTTAGAAAGCACATCTTTCACCTTAGATGTGCCATATTTCTCAAGAGTTATTATGAAACTGTGGTGCTCACTGAATAGGCAGTTGGGAGGTGATGCCTAGAGAATGTTTGTGTCTTTGAGGATGTCATGTGAAAATTAATTGATCAATAATCTTCAGTCACTGGGCTTCCCATGTGGCACTAGTGGTAAAGAACCCGCCTGCCAATTCAGGTAGAAGAGACACAGGTTTGATCCCTGGGTCGAGAAGATCCCCTGGGGGAGGGCACAGCAATCCACTCCAGTATTCTTGCCTGGAGAATCCCACGGACAGAGGAGCCTGGTGGGCTACAGTCCATAAGGTCACACAGAGTTGGTCATGATTGAAGTGACTTAGCACGCACTAGCGAGATGGTTACATTATAACCATTAAAGGAATTTTTCAAAGGAGATAAAGAAAAAACATTCTACGCCTCCCCCACCCCCACCCCCGCCAAATACACTAGGAAATTGCCTGTTAAGATATGTATTTTATGCAATGTGCCCTATCAGTTATGTTAGGAAATGTACAATTAATTTTTTAAATATATTGATTTTCAAATCACTTCTGGTGGAAAAGGGAGTGTTAAAATGATAAACGGAGTTCAATGACTAATTCCAGACTCCTTTCTTTTGGAAATGGTGTTAGAATGAATCTGTATCAGGATGTTTTTCACATGCTTAGCTTCATAATCTCCCTCCCCCTATATGGTTTGCCTGGAATCTGCACTAAAGATAAGAGAGTGCAAACTTGACTCACCTGCAACCAATCCAAAGAACTTTATGTGGAAAACTCCCTGCAAGTAGGTACAGGCAGCATAAACAAAACTTTGGAAATAGTGAAAGAAAAGGTAGAAAAAAATATGGTTGCAATGGCTAGGACAATTACTAGTTATTGTTTAAAAATTATCTTGTTTTCATTTCCAATATGAAAACTTTTAAAGAAACACCTAACTAAATAGTCATCAGAAATGTATCTTTTAAAATGTTTGGCATATTTTGTTATTTTTTTCAAATTATTCTCTATTTGATAAATATCCAGGTAATTGCGTAAGTATTTTGTACCTACTTGTTTTTAAAATGATGTGATTTTTTAGTTAGAACATAAGCTTTAAAAAACAATCTGGTCAACCAACAGATTTTAGTAGATAAGGAATATCCCAGAAACAGATACATAAATTGATATATCATTTCTGCTAATTAAACTTAAAACTAGACATTTTAAAAGATATGCATGCCTAACACCTACAGAGGGTTAGCAATAATGTAAAGGCTCTGACACTTTCTAACAATGAGGTTGTTTTGAAACTTGGCCCTTAAACCATTGATTTTCCTTTTTCCTTTGAAAGTTTAGGAGGATAACTCTATTCTAAACCTCTATTTTTCAATACCAGAACCAGAAAAACCCAAGAAACTTAAAGCTTTCAATATTTCTGCACATTCCTTTTCTCTGCACTGGAGCCTACCCTCTGGCCATGTGGACAGGTTTCACGTGGATCTTGTTCCTGACACTGGCTTTGTTACTATCAGAGATCTTGGAGGTGGAGAATATCAGGTATTGTTTTCATTATCATACTTGGCCAAGCCAACTTGTATTTTATATTTAGTCCAAATAGGAAAGTTGTTTATGAAGCTCGTCCACCATGAAAACTTCCTCCTTGGAGCCTCTTTAAAAGTGTGAGATGAAGACAAAAACACTGATGCTAAATTGATGAGTGTAGTTTCAGTATTGGCAGACTGTTACCTTAGCATGCCTGGTTTTTGTTTTTTTTTAAGTCTACCCTGAACCTACAGCCAACCATCCAAGGGTTCATGAATAGTTTAACAAAGAAAGGGCAGAGCTATTGAGTAATCCAGGCTCATTAATTGTGCACTTGCCAGGAGGATCTGTCTTTAAATCATTAATGCAGGCAACATTTCTCTCTAGAGCCATCAATGTGATTCTACTGCCTGAAAAATGTGATAATGATGGATTTTCTTATCATTTTCCTTTTACTTTTTATTGGAACTTCAGAGACACAGGTATTTTATGCACACTGTTAAATACCAGGGCTAATCAATGGACTATAAATTTCTTAGGACTCTTAAATAATTGTGACAATGAACTAGGATTGATAGAATTACTGATTTAGTCTTTGATAATGTTTGTTTTGTAAGTTTTTATTGCATGTTATTTGGTAAATATTTCTGCTATAACAAATGTATATTTTTACAATAATAGGAAACACATTCTGGTAAATAGTACAGAGTTATGTAGTGAAGTGCTAACTTTACTTTTTTGATTGTGATGGATTTATTGTTTTAGCTTTCCTACATTTCAGAATTTTTAACACAGTCATCTATTTTTGGTGTTTTAGGCTGATGTTTCTAATGCTGTTCCTGGTACAGGGTATGACGTAACCATCTCTTCCATTTCTGCTACAACATATAGCTCACCTGTTAGTAGAACAGTGACAACAAATGTGACAAGTAAGTATATGTTTTCCATTTTCTTCCTTTCTTTTTTTTTTTTTTTACAAAGTATTTGAACCCTTTATAAATCTATTGGATGGAACTATTTACACTGGCAATATGTGCATTGAATGCATGAAAACAGTTGAGTAATTAAAGCAGAGTGGAAACTTAAGAAAGTGATCTGTTTAGAACCTGCATTCTGCTGGGTCTTTATCTTCCTGTACTTTCAAGGAGCAAAGATAATTTTTCCATACTTGTTTGTGAAATGGATCAGAGACACTGTTAATGGTAATATTTAAATAATACAAAACCATGAAAATAAACTCACTATACTTGCTCCAAAAGAATTACTCCATTTGTAAGTCTGGTTCTTGCTTCCTTAGTGTTTGTGTATAAACCTTGCATCAAGTGAGTGTTTCTGAAAAATGATTTGGCATTAAAACTATATTTGGCATGTAGTATTTAGTAACATTCCATTTTTCACATTCTTATAAAAGAATGTTTTGGTATTCCCCATAGCATTTAATCATTTTTTCTCTTGGTAGCAAAGCTCTAGGGAGGATAAACTTACACTTACGAGACACTTACTCTTTGGAAACTTTAAAAGTCTACAGTTTGTAAATATTTTTCTTACATATGTTTGTGAAAATACAATAATTGATTGACCTTATAACAAATGCATTTTTTGAAAAATAGAACCGGGGCCTCCAGTCTTCCTGGCAGGGGAAAGAGTCGGATCTGCTGGGATTCTTCTGTCTTGGAATACACCACCTAATCCAAATGGGAGAATTATATCTTACATTGTAAAATATAAGGAAGTTTGTCCATGGATGCAGGCAACGTATACACAAGTTAGAACAAAACCAGACAGTCTGGAAGTTCTTCTTACTAATCTTAATCCTGGAACAACATATGAAATCAAGGTAATTATTTTGTGAATAATATTAAAATATTTCATTCACTTTAAAAGTGAAGGAGTTTTATCCCAACAGGTCAAGCTTTTGCAGCAAGAGACTTGAAGAATGATCATCTGAATCATGTTTTCATTGCCCATCTGGGCTTTTAAAACTTGAACAAATGTTATAATCATTTTGTGTGTGTGTGTGTGTGTGTTTGTATTTATATAATGTATCTATTTTAGAAAGCATTAGTTTAGTGACTTTAAAAAATTAAAATTTAATAGGTTTTATAAGCACATATATTCTACTTTTTAATCAAATTTGAAGTTAGCTTTGTAATTTTTCTCTTAATCCGCTTATATTTCCATATTGTTGTAATTTTGGATAATGATTTGAAGGTTTCTAAAGAACCAGTTTCTCAAAGAACAACAAATTCAAATTGGTTCCATTCAACAAATATTTCCTGGATGCATATGATCTCTTTTATGTTTACAAAAAATTTATGCCTTTACAGTGCTAAATATACAAAATGTAAGAACACTCTATTAAAATATTAAAGAAGAGCATGCAAAAAGCAGTCTTTTATGTTAGTTAGGCCATGTGAAAATGTTTACAGTTAAGAGACATGTGGTGATGCTAGTGGTAAAAAAAATCCGCCTGCCTATGTAGGAGACACAAGGCGAACTGCAGTCTATGGGATCGCCAAGAGTTGGATACGACAGAGCAATACACACACGGTATTTCCAGGGGGTAGTAAAGAATACAGGCATTTTCTCACCCCTCCCTGTTTTCAGTATAATGTCAATATGTTCTTTAGTCTTGACTCAAGAGAAAAAGCTGTGTAAATATGTGGTCATACATAACTGAGATGACCATCTAACAGAAGAAATGATAAGAAAGAGACACTTGCCTGTTTTTAAAATCTAACTGCAAGTATGCCTATTTGCAGAATCAAATATCATAATAACAGGAGAGTAGGCATACCAAAAGTATGCACCCCCCACATGACAAAAGAAAAATATAGATGTTTTTACTTATGCAGTGGTAAAAATCAAAGATTTGATGGCTCTTTCTCTGCAGAAACATGAGTTAAAGAGTAGGCAACCTTTTTCTAACTGACACCTGAAAATTATTTGGTACAGATATTTTCTATCATAAGCTCATATTCAAATTAATTTATATGTTAAGATATACTATTCAAAATACTAGATTATCTTTTAATGTGATGTAAGAAGCGGTTACTGATAGAAAGGCAATTTAGCCAACCTCATTCTGCTTAGATCTATTTTTACAGAATTTAAATTTTTATTCCTTTGAATTCTCTTATTTCAGGACTATAGGGAAGCCCCTATTCTCTTTTTTACCCTACACTTAATTAACCACTGTTGTAACTTTTATTCTGTTCAAATATATGTTAACCATTGCAGAATTTCAAAGGGCATTTGAAATGGTATATTTGGTATCTTCAGATGTCAATATCAAATCTACATGATATGGGGAAAATCCTGTTTAGTATTTTATATTATTTCATTTGTATTCAGAATCATCTTATGACACTGATATATTGTTTCCATTTTAAAGTAAAGGAAAATAGGATAACCTTTTTATCTGAAAATTAGTAGAGCTGCAATTTAAACCAAGGCTGTCTGATTCCAGTTATGGCATTTGGAAAAGCTTTAGAGTTCTCATTTATGACACTTTCTCTGTCTATTCTAGCGTATTTGACTAGATATTTCAAGCCAAAATAATTTCTATCTTTTAAATTCTAGAATATTTAGTCTAAATGATTACCTATTTATTTTTAAAATTTGCCTAATTAGATTGTAAACTCTAAAGTCAGACACTGTGTTTATGGTCTCATGTTCATTACAGAAATAATCATGGTGTCTTAGAGAGAATATAGTAGAAAGAAATTGAGCTTTAGAAGTAAACACAAATTCAACTGAATTCTAATTCTGCCACTTATTCCTGTGACATGGGGCAAGTTATTTGACCCCTCTCAACCAGTTTTCTCATATGTAGAATATTGACAATAATTCCTTGTACTTTGATTATGTGGATAAAATGAAATGTGTAAAATCCCTAGTCAATTTCTGAGTGTACAGAAATTGCTTAATAAATAGTAACTGAAATTGTTATTGCTACTAATAGACATTAAACTTGATTATTAATTTCTCTATCAGGAATCTGAGAAATCTGTTGATTCAGACTATGTTGCAAATATTCACTTAAGGGAAATGGAAATACTGAATAGCTCTATATTTGCTTCTGCTTCAAGATTATTGTTAGGAATTAGAGGGGAAAGTATCTTTATCATTTATCTTATGGACAAATCAAAGTTTTACTATTTCAGACTCTGTTTAATTAGAGTATAAAGCTTGAATGTAATTTTTGTGGTCTCTTTTAGGTTGCTGCAGAAAACAGTGCTGGCATTGGAGTGTTTAGTGACCCATTTCTCTTCCAAACTGCAGAAAGTGGTAATTTTCCTAAATCATTTATTCTGAATTAACTTAGTTAGGAGTTTTCATCATTTAAAATAAATAGGGATATAAACAAAATATGGCACTAAAATGCATAAAATTTTCAACAGCATGGCCATTCAATTACTTTTAGAGTCTTCTTGGATAGTGAATTTATTCATTAAAATATATATTATTCTTTCTGATGGTAAAAACACTAAGTGCTATCTTAGAAAACTTAAAAATACCCCAAAATACAAAAAAAAACCACCCCAAAATGAAAGTTATCCATGGCCCTGTTATATAAAAACATACATTTCTGGCTGATCTTTTTTCTCCTATGAATATATGTCTTTGTGACTATATATTAGTGAAAATAGGCTTGTGCCATTTATGCAAATTTGCATCCTGCATTTTAAAATCAAATCATAAGTATTATTATGACATTAGAGTTTTGGAAATATGGATTGTAATAGTTATCATATTATTCTATATCTTGCAGTCATTACCAAACCAACTTAAGCTACCTCCATTTTCCCAGTGACTGAGAATAAAAATTTGACATCATCCTTGATTGCAATCAGTCAGTAGTACTGTATAATCTATCAAGAAATCCTGCCAGCATTATATCAAAATATATCCTGAATCTAACCCCTATGTTAATCACCCTGTGTAATCTATCATCATTTCTTGCCTGATCACTTAAATGCCTCTTCATTGGTTTTCCTATTTCTAGCTTAGCTGCCTATAGTGTACTCTCCCCACAAGGGTCACATCACCTTTTAAAGCAGAAGCTAGACTACCGTTCCTTCTCTCTTCCTAACATGGCTCCTGTCTCATTCAGAGCAAGAACCTGAGTCCTTCCCATGACCTACAGTGCTTTGGGTGCCCTTAACCCTCGCTACATCATCTCTTCCTATTCTCCATCTGCCTCCATCCACTCCAGTCACACTCATCTTCCCACTTAGGGTCTTTTCTCTTGCTGTTCCTCCTGCCTGGAGTACTGCTTCACTAAATATCCACAGGGGCTTCCTCAATGGCTCAGCAGATAAAGAATCTGCCTGCATTGCAGGAGACGCAGGTTTAATCCCTGGGTCGGGAAGATTACCTGGAGGAGGAAGATGGCAACCCACTTCGCAGAGAGTCAGACGTGACTAAACAAACATCTATAGAATTCTCTGCCAAGTTGATGCAAATCTCACTTTACCTTTCCTGACTACACCTTCTAAAATAACCCCTATTTCCTTCTATCCATCTTTACTGCCAACAAATTAATTTTTCTCCACTTGAATAGCTTGACATATAACACATTTATTTGGCTTTTATTGCATATATTAGCCTAGTAGAATATAACATTTGTGATAAAAATAAGCTGTTATGGAATGGAAGTAATTTATTTAGTTAGTAATTTGGCTGTATATTCATAACAGCAAATAGAAGCAATAAATAAAAAAGTAGTAAATAATGGCATCTCCAATCAACAGCAAATATTTTCAGTGAAGTTTATCTTCTAGTGGGATAAGATTAAAAAAAATGTTACTAAGTAACAGATTGAAGTGTTACTCACTCAGTCCTGTACAGCTCTGCAACTCCATGGACTATAGCCCACGAGATTCTCCATATAGTCCATGAGATTCTCCAGGCAAGAATATTGGAGTGGGTTGCCATTCCCTTCTATAGAGGATCCTTCCAACACAGGGATCGAACTCAGGTCTCCTGCATTGCAGGCAGATTCTTTTCTTTTTTTTCAGGCATATTCTTTAAACCATCTGAGCCACCAGGGAAGCCCAAGTAATAGAGTAGAGAAGTGTTATAAAAAAGTTTCTATACTTTTCAGTTCAGTTCAGTCGCTCAGTTTTGTCTGACCCTTTGCGACCCCATGAACCATAGCATGCCAGGCCTCCCTGTCCATCACCAACTCCCAGAGTCCACCCAAACCCATGTCCATTGAGTCGGTGATGCCATCCAACCATCTCATCGTCTGTCATCCCCTTCTCTTTCTGCCCTCAGTCTTTCGCAACATCAGTGTCTTTTCAAATGAGTCAGCTCTTCTCATCAGGTGGCCAAAGTATTGGAGTTTCAGCTTCAATATCAGTCCTTCCAGTGAACACCCAGGACTGATCTGCTTTAGGATGGACTGGTTGGATCTCCTTGCAGTCCAAGGGACTCTCAAGAGTCTTCTCCAACACCACAGTTCAAAAGCATCAATTGTTCTGTACTCAGCTTTCTTCATAGTCCAACTCTCACATCCATACGTGAGCACTGGAAAAACCACAGCCTTGACTAGATGGACTTTTATTGGCAAAGTAATGTCTCTGCTTTTTAATATGCTGTCCAGGTTGGTCATAACTTTCCTCCCAAGGAGTAAGCATCTTTTAATTTCTTTGCTGAAATTACCATCTGCAGTGATTTTGGAGCCCAGAAAAATAAAGTCAGCCACTGTTTCCCCATCTATTTGCCATGAAGTGATGGGGCTGGATGCCATGATCTTAGTTTTCTGAATGTTGAGCTTTAAGCCAACTTTTTCACTCTCCTCTTTCACTTTCATCAAGAGGATCTTTAGTTCTTCTTCACTTTCTGCCATAAGGGTGGTGTAATCTGCATATCTGAGGTTATTGATATTTCTCCCAGTAATCTTGATTCCAACTTGTGCTTCCTCCAGTCCAGCGTTTCTCATGATGTACTCTGCATATAAGTTAAATAAGCAGGGTGACAATGTACAGCCTTGATGTACTCCTTTTCCTATTTGGAACCAGTCTGTTGTTCCATGTCCAGTTCTAACTTGCTTCCTGACCTGCATACAGTTTTCTCAAGAGGCAGGTCAGGTGGTCTGGTATTCCCATCTCTTTCAGAATTTTCCACAGTTTACTGTGATCCACACAGTCAAAGGCTTTGGCATAGTCAATGAAGCAGAAATAGATGTTATTCTGGACCTCTCTTGCTTTTTCAATGATCCAGTGGATGTTGGCAATTTGATCTCTGGTTCCTCTTCCTTTTCTAAAACCAGCTTGAACATCTGGAAATTCACGGTTCATGTATGGCTTAAGCCTGGCTTGGAGAATTTTAAGCATTACTAGCGTGTGAGATGAGTGCAATTGTGCGGTAGTTTGAGCATTCTTTGGCATTGCCTTTCTTTGGGATTGGAATGAAAACTGATCTTTTTCAGTCTTGTGGCCACTGCTGAGTTTTCCAAATTTGCTGACATATTGAGTGCAGCACTTTCATAGCATCATCTTTCAGGATTTGAAATAGCTCAACTGGAATTCCATCACCTCCACTAGCTTTATTTGTAGTGATGCTTCCTAAGGCCCACGGGACTTCACATTCCAGGATGTCTGGCTCTAGGTGAGTGGTCACACCATCATGATTATCTGGGTCATGAAGATCTTTTTTGTACAGTTCTTCTGTGTATTCTTGCCACCTCTTCTTAATATCTTCTGCTTCTGTTAGGTCCATACCATTTCTGTCCTTTATGGAGCCCATCTTTGCATGAAATGTTCCCTTTGTATCTCTAATTTTCTCAAAGAGATCTCTAGTCTTTCTCATTCTATTGTTTTCCTCAATTTCTTTGCACTGATCACTGAGGAAGGCTTTCTTACCTCTCCTTGCTATGCTTTGGAACTCTGCATTCAAATGGGTGTATCTTTCCTTTTCTCCTTTGCTTTTCACTTCCCTTCTTTTCACAGCTATTTTTAAGCCCTCCTCAGACAGCCAGTTAGCTTTTTTGCATTTCTTTTTCTTGGGGATGATCTTGATTCCTGTCTCTTGTACAATGTCATGAACCTCCATCCTTAGTTCATCAGGCACTTTGTCTATCAAATCTAGCCCCTTAAATCTATTTCTCACTTCCTCTGTATCATCATGAGGGATTTGATATAGGTCATACATGAAAGTTCTATACTTTTATATAACTATAGATATTTTGTATATTTAAAGATTAAAATCTTCCATCAGTTCATTGCCAACGGGATAAACTGAAATGGGCCCTGTGTATCTCGAGAGGATTATTCAGTTGTCAGTGTTAAAAGAAATATGTGACAAGCTTTATGTCCAGTTCTTATTTGAGACCCCGTTGAGAGAAGCAGGTGAATACATGCTCTATGCCATAGGAAGAATTAAGAGAAAATTCTAGAGTTTATTTAAAATTAGAAAGTAATGGTTCTTGAAGTCTTTTACTGATATTGAACCTACTTATATTCAGATTATTAGCACAATTAAAGTTGAGAAAATTATTATTTTTAAGATTAAATATTCATTAGGATATGAAAGACAATTTATGACTTACACTTTTAGGGAAAATATTTGGAATAATTTTTTAATTTCTTTACAAATAGTTTGGTCTTTTTTAAAAACACTCATCTTGGTAAAGCCTGGTACATTATGATTTCAGATTATGATTTCAACTTGACAGCATTTTGAACTTTATATATTTTATATTTTGCTAACTGACATAATTTCTATAGTTATTCTCTCTTGGCAAATTATGATTTGGATAAACTAACACTCTAGGTTGGCATGGAAATAATCCTGGAATGGGAGTTTCATTCTGTTTCTGACTTGCTATGTTTTCTTGGAGAAATTACATAATCACATAATCACTTAACTTATCATTTTTAAAAAATGTTGAGGTTAAAATGTAAACCTAAGTTTAGCTAGATCAGTTACATCCAATTTTTCCCCCCAAAGCTTCCTTTTTATTATTTATGTTATGCAGAACTCAAATTTAATGAAAATTTCTGTGGAATAAATAAATTGCATTTATTATTATTAAACCAGAAATAATTTCTCTCTCCATGAATAAAAATACTCCTGAAGTATTCATACAGTTAGCCCATTATACCATTCTAAGCTGATATTACATCCACAAGTACAAAAAATCAACTTTTTAACTCCCCATGCAGCATTATTTCAGACAAATGTAGAATTTATTTTAGCTTTAAAGTATTAGAAATATCCCTTGTACCTTCATTTTTAACTTGATGGATCCTTAGTAATGTAGGAAAATTCTTTACAGAAGTCTCTATATTTTATTTAGAAAGATTTTTTTCTGGTTCAAGAAAATGTATATTTTGTATAGCATACATTTTGAAAAGTTTTAGTTAGTTTCACATACTTGTATATTTACTTGCTTATCTATGACCTCAAAGTGTGTGAAAGGCCTATCTGTAAGATGATATGACTTTATAAATAGAATTTTTTGATACTTTAGTATCATATCTTTACTTGGAGCAAGATGGATAAATTCACGCTATAAAAATCAAGAGATGATGGGATTTTGGTACCTAAAAATCCAGAGGTAGAAACTAGAATATTTAAAGTACAGGAAGACCTGTCAGCAACAAAAAAGAGCCAGAATTAGTCTTCAGAAACCATCAAGTCAAAAAAAGAAAACATAGATTTTACTGGGGCAAAAATAGTGTAAAGTTAATAAGAAAACCTCTTTTTCACTAAATGTTGTTTAACAGATTTAATGAATTTTTATCGATTATATTGTTTGCTTTAAAAGATTTTGAAATCATACTTTGGAATTTATAAAGTTTGGTTACCTTATAAATTCAAATATTTCTACACTTGAGCAGATTCTCATGATTGCTAAAGTAGATTTGGAAATGTGCCAGCTTGTATGCAGTCTGCTATTAATATAAACTTCAGGCATTTTTACAAAATTTACATATTTTAGACAAAGAAATTTAAAACAATGATTAATATTAATGGAAAAAGCTTTGGTTCTTATAGTTCTATAGCATTAAATATTTGACAGACTTTTTGTTTTATTATATTTTATCTACCCAAAAGAAATTTTAGTGCTAAATCTTTAGTATTAGAGAATTATCATATTGTCATTGTCCTTCTTAAGCTTTAATTCTGTTGATAAATTCCCTTGAAGAAAAAAATTTCTATCCATTATGTCATCCATTATTAATGATTAGTCATCATCCCAAATTGGTTTTTTTTGTTTGTTTGTTAAAATGCAGCTGTTGTTAAGTTTCTTATTTACTACTCTTTAATTCATATCATTCACATACACCTCCTCTTCCCAGGGGCTAACTTTCTTACATACTTTATATGGCTTCCATTTTCAGATCACATCTTGATATTCCTCTCTACAGTGTACACCTAAACTCTAGTTATTTGATTTCTTAATACTCGGCATGTTTTATCTCAAACATATTGTCTTTTTTTTTTCTTTTGGCAGTGACTTGTTATGGTTGTTCTGTATTCTAAAGGACATTGATTATTTACTTTGTCAGTTTCCTACAGTTAACCTTGAATTAATGGTCATCCCAACTAAAATAGCCTTTATGCAGATTACTAATATTTAATAACAAGGTATCATGAGTTCTGATGAAAGTTGATTTTGAGGGTGTATAAAGGTTAAAATATAGTAATCACAACCAATTGGTGGTATCCACTTTATATTAGACACTGGTTATTTACTTATACTCCAGAAATGTGATTTTGTGCAAATGGTTGGATAATTGTTTGAATTTGCCACTTCTTCATTATCTAAGAATTTGCTACTTCTTCATTATCTAAGGAATTTACATAATTCCAAAGTATATCAGATGGTAAGATAGTCATTATTCAAATTGGTATAACCACAAACAACTATTAATCTGATTGAATATCTTTCAGACTTATTTGAAATAGCTTATTGATGGATTTATTGACCTATTAATCCTGAAAAAAAGCTTATTTGCCTCTTAAACACAAGTCTGTGGGCCCAATTTCTAATTTGTTATTTAAAGCAAAATCAGTTTAAAAAGTATACCCAAGTATATATTTTAAGAAATATTACCCAAATAGACTTTATCCAGTGTATTACATATTTAATTTTATATAACATGGGAATTGTAACATCCTCGACTTATATAAATGTCATTATAAGTTTTATAACAATATTTTTCTTCTCCTTCAATCACTTACATGTCCCCAGCTCCAGGAAAAGTGGTGAATCTCACTGTCGAGGCCTTTAACTATTCAGCAGTAAACCTGATTTGGTATTTACCTCGGCAACCAAATGGCAAAATTACCAGCTTCAAGATTAGTGTTAAACATGCCAGAAGTGGGATAGTGGTGAAGGATGTTTCAATCAGAGTAGAGGACATTTTGACTGGGAAGCTGCCAGAATGTAATGTAAGTCTCATTGAATATTTTCTGTGTCTCAAAAATTTTAGGCAAATTACATCTTGAAACTCCCAGCATCTGGATATTAGCTATTTGATTACTTACAGTATCATATTATATGCACTTGGCTATAGTCAAGGTAAAATAAGAGAAGAGTTTGAGAATTCAAGAGTGAGATATAAAAAAATCCCTTAGGGAGCTCTGGAAAGACTTGATAGGCATAGCATTAGTGATAGGCCTTGGAATAAGTAGGTGATTGTGTGAGGGTGGAGGATATTTTATAAGCCTTAAAGCAGGAAAGCATAAGATATCACTGGGAAAAAGATAATCCTTCCATGTGACAGGAGAGGAAGGGATCAAAATAGTAAAGTTTAAATTTGTGGAATTAGACTGGTTTTGTTGTATATTATCTTTAGTGAAGAATTTGTTACTACTCTAAGCACTGATGTGAAATCATTGGAAATACTGTAATTATGCTTTTTTAAAATTAATGATGAAAAGACAAACAAGATTACTTTTCTTTTAAATGCTTTAAGTTAATGGAAGTCACAAATATTTTTAATTTAGACATATTTCTAATATACTTAAACATACACCCACATGTTCTTTTGGTGTTATCTTTTGAATACTTATGGGGGGAAATGATCATAATAATAAGACAGTGATGTATGTTTGAAATTTCACACACAAAAAAAATAAGTTTATCTTTTTCGCTCTTAAGCTTTTAATGTGGATTTAAACAATTTTTATTAATCATTTTGCTGTAGTTAAACCTTTATTCAAAGTCACATGAAATCCTATTCATAAGAAAGATTAAGGTATAAATAAGCACATTCTATTCTAAAACTGTGGACAATGGTATTAACCATGTATCTGTAGATAATAAATGGGTATAATTAAAATCTAGCAGATTTATCTGTAGCTATAACAAGTAGTACACACACAAAATAATATTTGTAATATAAACAAAAAATGAATTACACATATCTTTACCAAGCGATACATTATTTTCCCATTTATGTTTATTTTATTCACTAGGAGAATAATGAATCTTTTTTATGGAGTACAACCAGCCCTTCGCCAACCCTGGGGAGAGTCACGCCTCCATCTCGTACGACGTATTCATCTAGCACGTTGTCACGGAGTAAGATTAGCTCTGTGTGGAAAGAGCCTATCAGTTTTGTAGTGACACGTTTGAGACCTTATACAACGTATCTTTTTGAAGTTTCTGCTGTTACAACTGAAGCAGGTTATATTGATAGTACGATTGTCAGAACACCGGAATCAGGTATGGTTTTTCTTTCTTTTTTATTTTTTGTAGGAAAAGAAGTTAAATTATTCACAGAATAATCTTTCTTTTTTTTTTTTTCATGTAGATCTTTTTGTTAAAGATCTTCCTTCTCTTTCAGTAACTTTTTTCTCCTTAATAATGGATAATAGGCATGCCATTTGGAGCATCTTCAATTTCAGTACTCTTTTAAGGTACTGACATAAGCATCTAAAAGGAGAAAAGAGATTTGAAAGAAAAGATTCTTGAGCTAATAACCATGCTCCTAAGATCAGCTCTCATCATTCTGTGATCTCAGGAATTTTTAATAATTGCCTCTGTTTGTCTACATTTTACATTATCATCTGGTGATGACTTCTCTCACTAATATTGCTGTTACCAGATGTGGAGATAACACCTGCAGTAGCAGGAATATCATGTGATTAACATTCAGTATCAGAGAAAAACAGTAGTTAGAAAGTGCCTACCTACCTGTATCTTCTCTGTACTGCAGTTTCTTTATGTGATGAATGGAGACATCTTCATTGTGGAGATGATGTTAGTACTAAATGAGCATTATTAGATGTTATTACTACTAAATTCTGAGTACATATTTCTAGGTATAGTATTTGCATATTTAATTATATTATGTAGGCAGTGCTGGGCTTAGTCGCTCAGTCGTGTCCAACTCTGTGACCCCATGGACTGTAGCCCACCGGGCCCCTCTGCCCATGGGATTCTCCAGGCAAGAATACTGGAGTGGGCTGCCATGTCCTCCTCCAGGGGATCTTCCCGACCCAGGGATCCAAGCCAGGTCTCCCATACTGTGGGTGGAATATTTACTGTCTCAGCCACCGAAGAAGCTGAAGAATACTGGAGCGGGTAGCCTATCTTTTCTCGAGGGGATCTTCCTGACCCAGGAGCGGAACTGGGGTCTCCTGCATTGCAGGAGGATTCTCACCAGCTGAGAGACTGTTATGTCACTGCATTACACACTACAAGACAAAATACATAGTAGCAGACTTTTAGTTATGATGGAAAATTTTTAGGTTACTGGGCATTATTACTGGTAGGGTAATTTCACTAAAGCATGGTAGTTTTTCTGATGACTTAGGTGTTAGGTCTTATCATTTCATTACACGTAAGTGTGAAGGTTTTTTACCTTGACTTAAATAAAAATCTCAGAAAAAGACCATTTCCTCTTCCATACTCCTTCTTCTTATTAAGAAAAAAAATAATTTCATGAGAGTCACACAAAGCGAAATTTGGTTGACAAGTTTGTTTTAAAAAATATTTGGAATGTTTTATTTCAATTATAGATTTTTTAAAATATTAGATACATGTATGTGGAGAAGGAAATGGCAAGCCACTCCAGTGTTCTTGCCTGGAGAATCCCAGGGACGGCAGAAGCCCAGTGGGCTGCCGTCTATGGGGTCGCACAGAGTTGGGCACGACTGAAGCGACTTAGCAGCAGCAGCAGCAGAATACATATATGAAAAACAGACCTCAATGGACATGAGTTTGAGCAAACTGCGGGAGATAGTGAAGGACAAGAAAGCCTGGTGTGGTGCAGTCCATGGGGTTGCAGAGTCAGATATGACTAAGCGACTCAACAGTGACAAATGAAAAACAGACTTTTAACATCATTATTATTTTTATGTTACCAAGATTACATTAGAATATAGGTTATAAATTTCCTCTCAGAAGCAAATCAGATGTTGATAGAAAAAGCAAAATCACTGCCAGTAGATCCCAAAGGTTGAGTTACTACTTTGGCCCTTCCACCTGTGTACAACAGAGGGAGAGTGTTTATCAAGCCAGATGCTCAGGGCTTGTTGAGTGCAATGCATATTAATATATATGCTTCAGGACACATAACTGTACAAAGAACTGCATAGGAATGAAACACTCTGTGCAGTCATGTACAACATTAAGTAAAAATGGTTGCAAATTTGGAATTTAATGATCCACTATTTATTCACATTCTTCAATTATAGCCTATTTTTTCTTTAAGTTGAAAAAATACTTTGCTGTGTGATATTTTATTTTTTCTCTGATTTTGTATTTTATGTATTTAGTAAGGTGCTTTTAATCCACTTTTTTCTATAATAATTTTAGTGCCTGAGGGACCACCACAAAACTGTATAACAAGCAACATCACAGGGAAGGCCTTTGCAATATCATGGGACCCACCAACTGTAGTAACAGGAAAATTTAGTTACAGAGTTGAATTATATGGACCATCAGGTAAGTCTTAATCAATTTTATGTTTATCTTTTGGAGTAAGAATTGTATAAAATATTTTATTATTTTCAAACTTTTTAAAAGTACTGGACTGTTTTTAAAAGACCCTTAGCAATGTTGAAACTCTTAAAACCTTTTGTTTAAAGCCATAAATAAGGATGGTAAAGCCTTGTCCACATTCTGTATTTCATGACAAAGGGCTGAAAGAATGAAAGAATCCCTCAAGAAAAGAAACATTAGAGGAGATAACATTTTTTCAAATATTTGATCAGGAGGACCTTGACCTACTCTGATTGCAAATGTATTTATGAAGAAAAATGGGCTCCAGCTATATTAAATCAGATTTCTGCTTAGAACAAAGAAGCCATTTCAAATAATTGGTGGTCTCTAAAAATAATATGAGCAACTTTATAGTGTAGTGAGGTTACATCTTTATGAAGAAGCAAGAGCTGGACATCTACTTGTCTTATTTTGAGGACTTCAGAAACTATGTTAGTGGAAGTTAAGTAAGCTCTATAATTCTTAATCCAAGATTCTATGATTCAATGAAAGAAATTTATTTCAACTAGTAATGAAATAACATAAATGCACATATTGCCATTTATTTGAAGGAATGGAAAAATAGACAAAGGTCCAAATTAATCATTTTGAAATTTCTAGGAATCTGTATGAATCACATGGGTAACCTTTATTTCTCATCCCTGAGTACCTTCAGTTCAATTCAGTCACTCAGTTGTGCCTGACTCTTTGTGATCCCATGGACTGGAAACATGCCATGCCTCCCTGTCCATCACCAACTCATGAGTTTACTCAAACTCATGTCCATTGAGTAAGTGATGCCATTCAAACATCTCATCATCTGTCGTCTCCTTCTCCCCCCTTCTTCAATCTATTCCAGCATCAGGTGGCCAAACTATTGGAGCTTGAGCTTCATTATCAGTCCTTCCAATGAATATTCAGGACTGATTTCCTTTAGGATGGACTGGTTGGATCTCCTTGTAGTCTAAGGGACTCTCAAGAGTCTTTCCAACACCACAGTTCAAAGGTATCAGTTCTTCTACCCTCAGCTTTCTTTACAGTCCAACTCTCACATCCATACATGACTACTGGAAAAAGCATAGCCTTGACTAGATGGACCTTTCTTGGCAAAGTTCTGCTTTTCAATATGCCGTCTAGGTTTGTCTTAGCTTTTCTTCCAAGGAGTAAGCGTCTTTTAATTTCATGGCTGCAGTCACCATCTGCAGTGATTTTGGAGCCCAAGAAAATAAAGTCTGTCACTTTTTCCATTGTTTTCCTATCTATTTGCCATAAAGTGATGGGACTGGATGCCATGATCTTAGTTTTTTTAATGTTGAGTTTTAAGTGAGCTTTTTCACTCTCTTCTTTCACTCTATCAAGAGGCTCTTTAGTTCCTCTTCACTTTCTGTCATAAGGGTGGTGTCATCTGCATATCTGAGGTTATTGATATTTCTCCCAACAGTCTTGATTCCAGCTTGTGCTTCATCCAGCCCAGCATTTTGCATGATGTACTGTGCATATAAGTTAAATAAGCAGGGTGACAATATACAGTATTTAGGCTCCTAAAGTTCTGAAATGTTTTCAGATCTAAAAATATGATAGTCCTTTTCTCCCCTCCCTGTTCAATACACAGACATACATGGATACCCAGACACACCTCTTCTATTTGGTATCATTTTCCAAAATTTTGACAAGGTACTCTTTCATCTGTGAGGATAAAAAGTCGAGATGTATCTACTAATTATTGACTTTAGCAATGTGGAAGTCATTAGCCATCTTAACTAGAGCAATTATGATGGAGTATGTGGGGTGAATGCCTGATTGAAGAGAGAGCAAGAGAAGACCATTGAAGCGGTGGGTAATAGACAACTCTTGAATTTTGCTGCAAAGTGAAGCAGTGAATGGAAGTGGGTAGAGGGGTGGGGGGTGAGCAGAGTTAACAGGTTTTCCTTTCAGAGGTAACAAATGAAGCATGTTTGCTTGCTGATGGGAATAAAGAAAAAAGACTAAGTCAATGATATAAGAAAGGCAAGAATTATTGGAAAGATGTCTTTGTTTAGGTAGAAAATGTAGGGATTAGTTTGAGATAAAAATCCAGATGGTTTATCCTTTATAACAGTTTATAAGGCAGAATCTGTGGGTGCAGATGCTGTAAATATGTGGTTGTGTTGGTGGGTGTATGTGGTATATGTCTTCTGAATGATTAGTTTTTCCAGTTTAATGAGAAGTAGTACCATCAATTGGGAAGGAAAAATGTAAATATTCCTCTCAAAAAGTAGAGAGTGACTGTGCTACTGAAATTAAGTCAGGTGCTGAACACCTTTAGGGCTCATTTGAAGTGTGGTAATGAACAAAGTGATATCAGAATGGATTTGTATTTTTCTCCAAAAGCAGTGATTATTACTGGCAGGGTCACTGAGGCTGGATGAAGAGTGGACATTCAGTGGTGAGGAACCGAACAAAAGTAGTGGTAAGATCAGTTTGTTTTGACTTCTAGAGCAGTGATCAGGAGACAGAAAGGGTGAGCAGAGACAGCTGCATGGAATTGAGATAATGGAAGATTTACAGTTACTGCTAATAGGGATGTCTGTTATAATGGTGAAGGAGTGACTGAGATCTAGTGTGGGACTAGATTATTTAAGGAGAGCTTGGAGTGGTTTAAGGATGATCTCTAGGAATATAAAAATTACCACAAATCCATATGGCGTGTATACGTGCTTAGTCACTTCAGCTGTGTCCTACTTTTTGCAACTCTATGGACTGTAGCCCTCCAGGCCCCTCTGTCCAAAGGATTCTCCAGACAGGTACCCTGGAGTGGGTTGCCATGCCATTCTCCAGGGCATCTTCCCAACCCAGGAGTCGGATCTGTGTCTCTTTAAGTCTCCTGCATTGGCAGGTGGGTTCTTTACTGCTAGCACCGCCATTCATAGGCAGCATTGAAGACAGTGACACTGAAGCGGGAGCTGAACCATCCAGAGTGAGAGTGAGTGTGCTGGGGTGCACAGGTCACTAGAACAATGAGAGTCAGTGAATGCACTGGTGGCAGGAGCGCTAAAGCTGTGGAGTTTTCCAAGCAGGGAGCTAGAATATTCTCAGACAGGGCAAGGAGGAGCATGGAGAACACGTATCACACCTGACCACCTAGTCACTTGAGGGCTCTGGGGAAAAAAGAACCTACCACCATCCTTGAGGAAGACCTGCAGGGAATAGAAGCAATGGTCTCAGGGGAGAGCTAGGTTTCAGTTACAGTAAGAAGGGGAAAAAGCTATTCAGAAATTGAGGATTTAAGGAATTTTGATGGTGGCCCAGTTAAGAATTTTGCTCAGTAACTAAACTACAGGACATTTCTAAATATATCTTTTTATAAAAGATAGAAGATTTAGCATTTTAATTGAATTTGAGTATGAAACACTGTCACTGTTTTTATATTGGTAGAACCTAATGCATTCCTTTAAAATATGCCAAAAAATAACATGACAGCTCAGTAGGGCTTTCTATTAATATAAAAGTAATTTTAAGCATGAACTATTTCTATTTTTTTTTCATCTTGGTTAAATTGACACAAGTGTAATTCTAAGCTAAATGTTTAACATATATTCACTTTTTAAATTGTAATAGTGAATGTCAGTGCATAGGTTAACACTAATTCAGTTCAGTTCAGTCGCTCAGTCGTGTCCGACTCTTTGCGACCCCATGAACCTCAGCATGCCAGGCCTCCCTGTCCATCACAAACTACCGGAGTTTACTCAAACTCATGCCCATAGAGTCAGTGATGCCATCCAGCCATCTCATCCTCTGTCATCCCCTTCTCCTCCTGCTCCCAATCCCTCCCAGCATCAGGGTCTTTTCCAATGAGTCAACTCTTTGCATCAGGTGGCCAAAGTATTGGAGCTTCAGCATCAGTCCTTCCAATGAACACCCAGGACTGATCTCCTTTAGGATGGACTGGTTGGATCTCCTTGTAGTCCAAGGGACTCTCAAGAGTCTTCTCCAACACCATAGTTAATTACTCTATACTTAATGTAAGAATGATTACATGCTTGAAGAATACATAATCCACAGTTATGTTTTGCTTTTTGTAGGTCGGATTTTAGATAATAGCACTAAGGACCTTAAGTTTGCATTCACTAATCTAACACCGTTTACGGCATATGACGTTTATGTTGCGGCTGAAACCAGTGCAGGGATTGGACCTAAGTCAAATATTTCAGTATTCACTCCTCCAGAAGGTAAGAACATCTCCTCTAGTGTGTGAACAAGAACTTTATTGAATCAGTTAAACATTGTATTAGAAACTATTTGGTTGATATTTATCTAATTCATGTTATTTCCTATTCAGATGACTACTTAGTACATTCTGAACATGTGTTCCTCAGAACACTAAACCCATAGCAGGCTTGATGATAAGAGGGACCAAAGATCAAGTGAACGTTACAGCAAACATTACATGCTGTGTCAGCCTGCATTTTCACAATGAACACTACTGGCAAAATCTCAAGACTAAATACATTTAACATGGTTTAAACCCCATTATTTATTGTATATTCTGTTTTTCCATAAAGTGATGTTCAGAGAAATCTGTTTATCCCACAGTGCCTATGGTGTTGTTGCTGCTCAGCCACTAATCGTGTCCAACTCTTTGCGACCCCATGGCCTGCAGTTTCTCTGCCCTTCACTGTCTCCCGGAGTTTCCTCAAATTCATTTCTGTTGAGTTGGTGATGCTATTTATAATCAAAAGGATATTCTAAGCAATTGAGGATTCCTGGAAGGGGCATAATATAAATTTACCAGAATAGACTGAAATTAGTTTCAAAATGTCTCCTGAAGAAACTTGTTTTTTGTATATGTTAGATATCACAGTCTAAGGCTAACTGTAGTGTTTAAAAAATGTTACCATGCCATTTCACAACCTGTTTTCTGGGCCCACACCAAATTTGCTCAATGCCTTTATATACTGTACTTATTTAGGAGAATTCAACAATTTTTTTTTTTTATGATCACACGAACACTTGATAAAACAGATTTTGTTTGTGTGATAGCTAACATTCAGTAAGTTGTGAGTTAAACACACATGTGTGCACTTGAGCACATGCATATACACACACAAACAAGGTTGGGCATACCTTCATCAGATAAATCATTCAAGTGTTTGTCCATGAGAGGGCAGCAACTATTAGGGAATTTTGTACTTCTCCCCCATTTCAAAGAATGACCCTTGAGAATATTTTGCTATTGAAAGCATGTAAAATTTATGTTGATTTCAAATGAAAATAGTAATGTGTACATGGTTTCGATACACAGATTAAACAGAAGCATCCTCATAAACAAAGTGTTTTTATTTTTTTCATACCAAAATTTCTCTTTTGCATTTATATCAGAAGAATCTTAGCATGTATGTCTTCTCCCTTAGACCTGAAATTTCTCCCACTTCTACCTAAACCTGCTCTTAAGGATTTTCAAGAAATCTAGACAGATTTATGTATGCCTGCCAAACACAACATGCCAGCGACGTGGCCTTTATCAGACTTAGAGCCCTTGAATCTGGTCTTTTCTCAACCAACCCAACTGACCAATTTCTATTCTCATGTTGTACAATTAAATAAATTCAATCTTAAATCAAGCTGATTTTGGGGCTCCTACACTGAGTCCACAATTTAAGATAATTGGTTTATTGTCATCATTCTTGGCCTACAGCATTTGACAAAAACAGGGAACTAGGTAATATAATGTGTGTGTGTGTTAGGTGTCAAGTCATGTCCGATTCTATGCAACCCCAAGGACTGTAACCCACCAGGCTCCTGTGTCCTTAGGATTTCCCAGGCAAGAATACTGGAGTGGGTTGCCATTCCCTTCTCCAGGGGATCTTCCTGACCCAGGGATCGAACCCGGGTCTCCCGCATTGCAGGCAGATTCTTTACCATCTGAGTCACCAGGCAAGCCCAGATAATACACTGCCATATACAATTCCATTTTATTTAGGATATCACTTAAACATTTATTTCCCTTTCTTTATGTCTTTTTTAATTGACAAAATAATAAATAGAATATTTAAGGACATTGTTCAATGTACTTCACATGGCTTGTTTTTGATGCCAAGTTATTTTGAATAGATGACTCTATTTGCCCCGTATACCCAGTGATTTACCTCAGGTTTATCTTACTGCCTCCTGAATTACTCATCACCTGCTCACCACATCCAAGTGGCTCTCAGAAACCCCTGGAAACTAAGGTGGCCTTCGCTGCTGGAAGGGCAAGCATGGCTGGTTCTTTCCTCTGCCTGCCTGCTTCTTCTGTGCAGTTCTCAAGGAACAGTTCAGCCAAAGGGCTCTCAGTGAAATACTGGGGCAAATGCAGTGAATGTATGCTCGGACACAATAATTAATCCTGGTCCCACTGATTAAAAATTTGCCATAAAGGAATCTTTAAGCTATATGAGAACAATCAAATAACTCATTAGAACATACACACTTTGAATTAAAATTGATACTTTAATTTTCTAGTATTCTTTTTATTCTTTAATATAACAGGTTCTTCATATTCTGATTAGTTACTCAGTTTTCTTCTTCATATTTAAAAAATAATAGTCTAATTAGGGAATCAATTAGGGCCAGATTTTAAATTAATATAATTTAAAACAATCAAGGTTCTAACAAATCTCCAGATATTCATAGAAAAATATTGAATTGATTTCGTTTAGAAAATACATGTTGTCACATTATAACGGGGCTGATTTCGTTAATACTGAGAATGATATGGTCTATTATCTATCAAAGAAAATCAACGTGATGTTGTGAAAGCAGTTACCCTGTGTTTTTCATAATGTTTCTGCATATCCCTTAATATTTTACTGAGCAGATTTCTACTTAGGCATGAAAAAGAGATGGTTTTTTAAAAAAAATTATAATAATCTCCAATGTTACAAAATATCATAGTTGCCATTCCAGAATGAAACAATCTGCTGAATATAGCATTGACAACAGATTTTTTTCTTGTTATGTTTACGTGGGTTAAAAAAACCTTAAGTAAATTTTGCTGCTTCAAAATCCCCTAAAACTTCTCTATGACTAGTGTCAAATATCTTTTAAGGAAGTTTATATCATGTCTTAAAAGCAAAAAAAGTATTGAAATCCATCTTTGCTCCCCCATAAATAGACTATTGAAGTGAAGACTTGTCCTCAGTAATTTCAATTTTCTATTTTCTGCAAATTATAGTAACATCTTTATAGGGAGACCACTTAGAAACTATCAACTTTGTAATTTTAAGGATTCTCCATGATTTTTATTTTTCAAATTTTCAGATTCAGTAGATTTTTACAAATTTCACTTCCAATGGAAGTTTGATTTGCTAGATAAGGGCAAAAATTATTTGAATGTATTTTCTTTACCCCAATGCCATTTGTCTCCATTGTTTTCTAGGAGTTTTTTTTTTTAATTGGAGGATAATTACTTTATAAAATTGAGATGGTTTTTGCCATACCTCAACATAAATAAGCCACAGGTATACTCCTGGTCATTTGGATTTTTTTTTTTTATCAATTATATGTATACTCTGTTTCCTATTTATTAGTAAAATTTATAGATGTATTGACCTGAGAATGATTCATAGGTCATCCTCATAGATAACACCTTCAGAATTAATGCTGAACCATGAATAATTGCCTTGTGTGTTTGATTTTCTTTAGTTAATTTGGTATCAATATTAAAGGAGTTTGATCTAATCCACACTTCTCAGGTTTCCCCATAAGAATTTGTGGTGTAACATATCAAGTGTCTTTCCAAAGACAAGATACAATGCTGTCTCCTTCATTTCCTTTATCCCTTAAGCTTTTTCTTCTTTTATAAAAAAGAGATAGCCTTACAGTTGTTCTTACACAAATTTGGGGTACATTTTTAGGGTAATAGAGAACCACTTAACTTTGGATTGTGATTTTTAGGCATTAGTGTTATGAGGCAATACTTATTAAGTTATATTGAAAAATATAAATTATAAGATAAACAATGTCTAGTATTTTTAGGTTTGGCTAACAGAATAAGAGAGAGTGCAATTTAAATATACTGTAGTGGGTAATTTTTGTTGCATCAAATGGTACTGACCATTTCAGTTATTTTCTAGTAGGTAGGGTTTAGTTATCTGATGACTCTGATCAATGTAGTTATTAAACTGGCTTCTTCAATTGAGATTCTACATGAGTTCAAATTAGATGGGAAAATGTCAGATCTCTTCTTTGATTTATATCATGCAGTACTGACTAAGACTTCATCTACATAGCAACCCCAAAAATGTCAAAGAAAGGTGGAATGGAGCTTTGCCATTTAAATAGCTGTGTTGTTTTCATACTCTGTGGTTAATTGGAAAGTTCTCTACTCTTGAATGATGTAAATATGATAAATATGAAAAAAACATAAGTTTAGCAACAATGTATGATAATTGAATAAAACTTACATAAGAGGTGACCTATGCGAAGGCTTTTTATCTGTCTTTTTCCTCCCTCTATCCTTCAGTGCCTAGAACAGTGAACATACGATGAGTCCTCAGTCTGTTGAATGACAAATGAATAAATCATTTGTTGTGGGGTTCTAGTTTAGAACGCGTCCTCCATCTTTCAAAGATTAAATTGTTTTTCCTTCAGGTTAGAATTCCTGTGGGGAAATCAAGGTAAAGAATTATCCTTCTATATAGAGATACACCGAAATGTTTTTAGAAAAGGAGATTGAAAGAATTGACAAGTTATAAGTGTACCCATGTTACATTTATCTCTTAATTTTGAGCACACATTTTACCCATACTGGATTCTGGAGACTTGACTGCAATAATCAAATAATAGGCTTCTAATCCAGAGTTCAGCTATCTAGTCATTCACTAGTCAACAAACATTTAGAAATATTTATTAAAATATCTAAGGAGATTTTTTTGGTACTGATTACTTTATAGAGACTGAAAAACCCAACTCTTAATCTCTAAGATGAAATACTACATGATTATGCTAATTTCATGTTTAACTTAAGCTTGATTAGGTTCATTAATTATAAATAATATTTTGGGGAGTTATGACATAAACTTCTTTCTGTTATCTTAAAGAAGATAGAGTTGTTCTTCATTTGTTTTTACCCTTAATATGTCTTTCTTCCAACTGGAGTTTGCTAAATCTGTGAAATATTTTACCTTAATGAAATAAATTTAATGTTTGACCACATCCTAATCATAAAGAACAGTATTTTTGTGTCACATTTTCTCTTTCTTCAGCCAACATGTTATAAAGTCTTTTGAATCACTTATTCCTTATTGTACTCTTGTATAGTGATAGGAAGGATTTAATGACACCCATTTAATAGATAAGGAGACTAAATGTGGAGGGAGGAATTGGCTATTTATAATCACACAATGAAATATATACTAAAAGTGGACAAGTGCCCAGGGTAGAATTTTTCCTGATTAGTCCTATTGTACTGGAAGGTTTCCTAGTAGTTACTCTTGACATACATACATTTATTTTATGTATTTATTTAGTAATTTGATGCTTTTATACATTACAAAATGATCACCACTTGGTGACTTTCTAACCAGAGTTTAAATACTTGGTGCCTTATCTAAAACCAATTGTTTTTCCTTCTTTTTCTTTACGATTGCAAAGAATAAGGGTGTCTGAAATTTGAGATTCACATAATTTATAAAATCAGCAGACAAAAATCAATTAATTTTTCAAACATAAATTAAAAATTCCCTAATAAAGTATACCAGCTACATGTAATTGCATTCAGAGTATTCCACATATTATCTTTTGGTATGTTTTAATTTTTGTAAAACCTTCAAGATTTCTACTGGGAATTCATCAGTCATAAACAACTTTCCCTGGAAAGTTATTTTTATAAATTAATTTGTTCTGAACAAACGTATGATTTTTGATTTGGGAAAATTATTCCATGTCACTCTATTTCTTGTGTACATGTGGAGAACAATGTATAGAAATTTGACATTAGTTATCTGTGTTTTTAAAGGATCTGATACAAATCCGATTGTTAATAAATTAGTAAATTGTTTCAGTCTGTTTTCTAATAGAATTGCTTATATGTCTTCAGTCATGAACTGACTTCAGTAATTTTTAGAAATTTGAGAATGTATTTTTAAAGTTCCCTCCTCTTCTTCTCTTTTTTAGTTCCAGGTGCAGTATTTGATTTGCAGGTTGCAGAAGTAGAAGCCACCGAAATAAGAATTACTTGGAAGAAACCACGACAACCAAATGGAATCATTAACCAATATCGAGTGAAAGTGTTAGTTTCCCAGACAAGAGTGCTTTTAGAAGATACTCTGCTCACTGGAAAAGATGAGGTACTGCACTTGAATTTCTTATTTTGTTGAGCCCTTTCTACCCGGTTTTGGCCCACATAACTTGGGAGATTTGCCAACATGCAAACATAAAATATTTGACAAGCTTCAAAGTACAAAGTGAAGTAAATTTAGCTATGCTGATAACCTAGCCCATCATATTTCATTTCAAGACATTTATTGTTAGTTAAGTGCTATTGTTCTTTTTCAGCATATGAGAAATGTTAATTGGGCAATTAAGCAGGACTAAAAGTACTTCCATAAGTGAATATTATTATGGTAATAAAGTTAATGAATTGTTTGGAAGCTCCTGTTAAGATTTAAATACTCCTCCTAAGGTTGTGCTTGCAATTTGGAACAGTTGCCAAAGAAAAGCACAATAATTTTAGTAATTGCTGTTGACAAATGGTTTTGTCCTCCTTAGTCTTAGGAAGCCGTATTTCTCAAAGCTACCTCATTTAAAAATTAAGCAATATATATTTGACTAAAGAAATCAAATAAAAGAGATGAAATCATCATAAGTATAAAATAAGAGGACAGTGTTTGCTTTTAGTCACACTGGAAGCCTTCTTTCCCCTCTTTCTTTCTATTTGAAAGTGTTGTGTTGGCCAAAAAGTTTGCTCAGGATTTTCTGTAAGACGCTATGGAAAAATCCAAATGAACATTTTTGCCAACCCAATACAGGCAGCACTAATTTTTCCTTCACTGTCTTCATTCCCCTCATCCAGCCAGCTGTTCACCTGGGAAATCCTTCTAAGACTTTAGACTGATGGTATCCAAATATTGGTGGTTCCTGGGGCTCACGAAAAATACATCTATTTCAGACCAGTGAGTGTAGCACACACTGCAACTTGGAGGCCTGACCTCTGGTTATTCAGCAGTGAGGTTCCACGCGTTCGGTCCAGAATCATCACTTCTTCTAGCTGTGCTCTTGTTTTTCTCCACGTATATTGTCCATTCTATTCCTAGTCCCAGACTTCCTCCATTTCTGACACCCACCTAAAAGTTACCTTACTGTGTGCTTAATGCATTCTGGCCAACCACGACTCATTAGTACAAGTTGTTTGACCTCTGGCCCAGGGTTACAGTTTAATCCAATGTGGACTCCATTCCTCTTGTGTAAAAGATGTTGAGTTGTGCTTTCTCTGATACTTTAGTCGACAGCTCAGGCACAGGGCAAAAACTTAACCCTCTGCTCCTGCTGAGAAGGCCTTAAATTAGATGCTTCACTTCTTAGGATTGTGTGGCAGATCCCCCACTTCTGCTAATGATATCTATTGAGTGATAAGCTACACCTCTTTTTCTCTTGAAACTAAGAGATTCTGGAAAGACTTCTTGTGATATGATCCACAATCCCTGTGACGTAATAGAGATAACATGAGCTTTGGTATATACAAATCTGGGTTTATATTCTTAATTTGGTCACTTAGTGTGTTTTACAGCAGAGAGCTTAAGTGCATGGACCTAGGAGACAGAATGCTGGGTTTAAACCTTGGTTTTGCCCTTACTGATGATTTAACCTTGGAAGAGTAGACCTGGACTCTCTGAACTTGTTTCCTTTTTAAGATAGGGACTCTAAGAGTCTGTGTAACATGGAGTTATTAGTGAGGATTTAATGGATTAATGTGTGAAGAGCTTAGAACTCCACCTGATGTATGGTAAGTTTGGTGACCTGAATAACTGTGACCTGTTGTAATTATTAATCATGGCATTGGACCTTTCACCCTCACTGGGACACAATATTAGCTTCCTTCAGTCGCAATAAAAGGAGACATCATACTTTATTTCTGTGATTGTGTATCTCTTCATTAGATCAGGCTCTTATTGATATTTCTGCTTTCCTGTGTGATTGGTGTTTGGGTTTACCTTTCAGGAGGCTGATGTGGGGAGACACATGTGGTGGAAGCTCTGAGTCCAGATGAGCTAGTGTCCTAGTCCTGTCTCTGCCTTTTCCTCACCCCATGACCTTTGACAAGTCAACTTTTGGAGACTTGCTGCGCTCATTTTTAAAGTAGAGCTTATATGCCTGCCTTATATTGAAGGGTATGGTGAGGAGTAAAGGAGATAACAGAAAAAAAACTCTGGCTTAGTAGATCCTTTTCCTTGGTGTAAGATAAGGAATTTTCTATTCACTCTTTAACTTTTCAGAGTATAGCCTCCACACTGTGTCCTAAGAATTTTTGAAATCCCTGAAGTCTTGTTAGAATTTACCAGTGAGCACTTGTCTCATGCATCCAGCCTGGGCTGGTGATCTGTTTCACCCTAGATAATATACACTACAACTACCCACTACAATATTGTAAAGTAATTAGCTTCCAACTAATAAAAATAAAAAAAAAGAAAAAAAAAGACAAATTCCAAACTTAAAAAAAAAAAAAAGAATTTACCAGTGACCTCCTACATGTCAAATAAGGCGGATCTATGTTTTTAACCATCCTCATCTTCCCTGTGTCCTCCAAAATTCATTCCTTTACCTCCAACTCTCCAGCTTTTGACACAACCGCTTTCTCCCTAGTACTCGGTCCACTGGCATATACTGCAAGTTTGCAAAAAAACTTGGCCTTGTACTATGACAAATGAATACTTAAGAAAGCTAGCTCTTTTACTACTTTCTAATTCCTTCCTGAGAGTTCTGTCTTCAGCCACTTCCTTTTGACAGCCTCACAGTTTCAGTCACTGCTTCCTATTTGCATGACTCTTTCACCGTGTTTTCCATGATGATTTTTCTGACACTCTGCATCCCTAATTACAATCATTTGTGGTGAAGTTCTGCCAGGACGCATCACATTTAAACTCATCTACCCTCATAAAACAGAACAGAACAAGCATCTTTTTTGAGACAATAGGACTTGGTTCTTGATTGGAAGGAGGAAACGGTAGAGGTAGATAGAAATCCTGGGACAGTGATAGGGACCTATTAGTTTTCCTATGGGACAGAAGGAGAAAGTCTGTAAGGGTAATTGATAGTTTTAGTGACCAATAGCAAGGTCAGAAGAAGACTGAATTGAAACCCAGATACGAAATAACAGGCTTAGAATTCCCTATCCCCTTGGGTTGGTCACATCACAGATCTCTGATCTGAAAGTCATTGTCGAAACATTTGGGAGGCTTTTGTGGCATTTTTATATGTCTGATGTCTTTCTTTTTGGATAATGGCACCATTATCTTTGTGAGGGCTTGGAATCTTGGAATTACCTCTGACTTTGGTTATACTTAGCATTTAATAGCTACTCAATGTTAAGGCCAGTTCAAAGTGTAATCTTCATACCTCTGTATTCCATTTTTGTGTCCTCACCCCAGCTCAGGATTGCCTGGACTATTTTTGTTAGCTTACTACACTAGTTTTCCATTGTATAACAGTTTGCCACAAGCTTAAAACAATTCACATTTATCATCTCGCAGTTTCTGTGGGTCAGGAGTCCAGACAGCTTGTGTAGGTTCCCTGCTGAGGGTCTCATAGGCTGCAGTTGAGGGTCTTACCTTCCTGTGTTCTCATATAGATGCTCAACTGGGGAAGAATCTACTTCTTGGCTGACTTAGATTTTTGGCAGATTTAATTTCCTTTTGATTATAGAACTGAGGGCCCTGGATCCTTGCTGGCCCTCTGACTAGAGACTATTCTTAGCTCCAGCTCATTGGGGTCCCCCACAGTTTCTTGCCACAGAACTTTCCCAACATGGCATTCCCTTCATCAAGCTAGCAAGGACAGTCTGTATAATATAACCATGGGAGTGACATCCCATCGCCTTTCCCTTAGTCCATTGGTTGGATGAAAAATCACACTTCCCACACAAGAGGAAGGGATTATACAAAAGCATGAACAGCAGGAGGTAGGGATGGTAGAAGGATCATAAGAGAGGCTATGCTCTGCAGTCTCTGGATTACAATCCATCCAGATTAAAGTGTTAATGCATTTATACTATAAAAGTAAATAAAAAATGAGAATGGACTTGGAACATGAATATGCATCTATTTTAGTAATTAATGCTTTCCTTTTGTAGCAGAAAGTCAACTGATACTGCCTGAAGTAAGTAACTCGTTGTGACACCATGGACTATACAGTCCATTCTGGCCTCTGGAGAGGCTAGAATATTGGACTGGGTAACCTTTCCCTTCTCCAGGGGATCTTCCCAACCCAGGGATCAAACCCAGGTCTCCCACATTGCAGGCGGATTCTTTACCTGCTAAGCCACAAGGGAAGCCTAAGTGACCCTTAACGGAAAAGTAAAGCATATTACCTAGTGATTTTAGAAGTAACACCATAAGAACTGAAACAGAGATGATTAAAGATGTTGCTTCCAACAAATATACAAATATTGAATCATTATGTTGCACACTGGAAAGCAATTTGATGTTACATATTGATTATATCTTAGTTAAAAAGAAAGACTTGATTTCAAAATCTCAAAAAAATGTTTCTAGAGAGTAAGACTTGCAGTTGGAAAGCGACAGACAGGAAAATATTATTTTCATTGTAAATCCTTCATCATCTCTTGTATTTTTAGCTACCTGCATACCTTGTGATGATGATACTTTTCAAAAAGTATTAAAATATAATCACCCTATGCTAAGTTTGATCTGATATCATCACCCTTACTGAAATTTTTTCCAGTGACCTCTCATGACTTGTTTGTTTCTTAATAGACAGGAGTTATTTAAGCATGCTGAAATATGTATAGGATTTTACTCTCACTATTTAAACATGTATTTGATAAAAAAAAAAACATTGAAAATTTAATCTCAGAGTTTGAGGACTTTTATTTCAACTTCCAAGTTTATATATGAAGGTAATCAATCACATGACTAATAAATGATTGGAGATCCAGCCTCTGCTAAAATATTTGATCAGCTCTGACAATAGGGTATCCACCACCATGTAATCAGTTCCTCTTCTATAAGCTTTAAACCATGCTTCTTTGTGGTCTCACAGGCATGCATTTCTTAGGTAACTATAAAGTTCCAGGCACTATGATAGGTCTGGAACATATATAAAGAAGAAACTACCATGTTCTTTAACAGTTTTGAACTGAAGTATTTGTTCTCTAATGTTTACCAGTTTATCCCATTTCTTCTCTCCAGACCCACACAGTAGCTTAGAGTAGCTTAGAGTCTGGGATTTGCAACCAGGGAAATGTATTCCAGTCCTACCTCTTCTATGACTAGTTTTATGAACTTGAACAGCTGACTGTAAAATGGAAATGATAATATCTTTTTCTTTGGGATATAATCAAGTGATATCACACGGGTAAAAATATTTATCACTGTACTTGACACAAAGTAGCTTTAAATGTTGGTGTCTCCAGCAGTAATAACAATATGCAATGATTTAACTTTTTATCATTTGAGAATAATCATCATGGTTTCCCTAAGGCTTAATATCCTCAGTTTCTCATCAGTCATTCATATTATTGATTACTCTCCTGTGTATTTATTTTCCAGTTTATCAGTGATCCTCTTTCTCAGCTGAACACTATATTCCATATATAGTTTGACTAGAGCCAAATTGAGCAGAATTATTTTCTCCTTTAGCATGAATTTTCTGCTTCTATCAATGCAAAGAATAAAATTCATTTATTTGGGATATTTATTTCACCTAGATGAAAATTTAAAAAATCCTAAAGTCCACTCTTCATTAACTGCTCTCTAGTTGAATTTCATACTCAGATCTCATTCTGTACTTCTGTACTTGTTTTTCAGATCAAATCCTGAGGGATTTTCTCCCCAAACACATCTTGCTATGTAGTGTCACAAATTTCTGAGATTTGTATGGATATATCTTTTCATCCAACATATTTCTCAGGTATATAAATGTTTGTCAGTGGTGAACATAGGACACAAGCCAAATGCTTGGCCAATGGCTCTAGAATGAGGCTGAGGACATGACTCGAAAGTAGTATAGGAATTCTAGAGATGTTTACTTTATTGAGCATTAGGAACATAGACAGAATCAAGCCTTAAGGATTTGTCATCCTGCAGAATGATACAGTTTCCGTTAGAAGGCTTCCAAACATATACTAATTATAAAATTCTTTTTACCACTGGTTGAAAATAATATGAATCATGTTATAGTTTATAATAAAATATGGAAGCATTTCTTAAGAATAAGTCAACATTTTCATTAAATCAATTGAGCAGACTTCCAGAAAGTGTAAATTGATAGATATAGTAAAGTTTTTGAAAATACAATCATATTAGCTATAATGAAGACTGTTACATGTAGAATCGGGTTGGTTTATTCAGGTGGATTAGGAACTGAACTCTGAAGACTTCTAATTCTTTCATATCAATTCCAAAGATTCCTAGGTAGCATATGAGAAGTCTTTCATGTTGATGAATTGTGACATTGCCTAACTCAGTTGTTTTCGATCGAGGGCGGTTTTGCTCTCCAGGAGACGTTTCGTGATCTCTGAAGTTTTCATTGTCACCACAGGGAATATGTTTCTAGTGGGTAGGGACCAGGGAGGCTGGTCCCTACAATGCCCTGCACAGCTCCTTATAACAAAAAAATTCTCAAACATGGAATGTCATTAGTGCTGGGGTTGAGACTACTAGACTAACTCAATGAGGCCAAACTTGGGGGAGTTGTGATAGACCTTTATTTCCTTTTCTATCACTCATTTCCATTCCTATTTCTCAGCCACTTCTCATTACTTTAAGTTCTGATTCTTTCCTATCATTTTTACTCTTAAAATTATTTCTTTTTCGTCCTTTGAAAAACCTAATCCCTGTTTTAAAGAGGCGAAGTGTGAGAAATAGTCACAACATGAGACACTTGGTGATAGTTAGTAACTTTTTGGATTTTTACAAAACCAGTTCAAATTTATAAGTTCAAATCACTTATAGCTAGGGAGGGTCCTTCCAGTGTATTTGGGAGAAGTTTAGGTAGTCAAAATTACTCAGTCACCTCTTAGGCTGGAATAGTAATTTGTCAACAGAGATGCTTAACTTAGTTAATTGATGGGATACTACGGCTTAACTCTCAAAAATGTATCTGACATTGGTATAAAATATTGTGAGATTTAATGCAAAATCACAGTTCAGGGGAAATTCTTTGTATTGCCCTGTTGTACCGTCTGTAGTGCTTTGTACACTGGATTCTCAAAGGGTGGTTGATTGATAGTGGAAACAGCTGTGTGGCTCAGGCATAAACTATTGACTGGAATACCAGAGCATCTCTGAATTATGTGTTTGTGATTCATGCCTTCTCTGATTTCCCAATGGAAGTAAAGTTGAAGTGTGCCTTGGAAGGTGGAAGATCTTTAGTTTGTTCCAAGTATGGTTCCTTATCCAGAGTGCTTTATCATAATATTTTTGGAGTAAATATTATTGATATCTCCCTGCTTTTCATCACAATACTTCCTTGGGTAAAGAAATAAGATTTAGATAATTTTATCTTATAAATATCATTTGGAGAATTAGCTATATCTTTGCATCTTTTCTCAGTTTTATTTCTCGGAAAAGTTAATATTCGAATGATCTGCCTTTGTAACTAGTTAAATAAGTAAGCAGCCTTAAAATTCCTTGCCTTCCTGATATTTTTCTAAGCATCTACTTTTTAAAGAAAAAATACTAAGTGCTTTATGTTCATAAGGAATTAAAAGCCTGTTTTGGGCTCTACTCAAAAAATAATTAAAAGATAGGTGTACCAAAATTTATAAATAAATAAAATCTATATTATGAATTAATTAGAAACTCTGAGGGTGCAAGAATATGGATTTGGAAGGAATAGAGTGATTTTCTTCTTTGAAAAAAAATCTTAAAAAAAGGGCTTGGAGGTGAGTCTGGAAGAAATTGACAAAAAAATAGTAGCTCTTAAAACATTGTCTTTTTTTCCCCCAATACTTCATTTTGGAAAATTTTGAACTGGTATAAATGAAAGAAAAAAGAGTATAATGTGTATCCATTAACCCATCACCTGGATTCCATAATTATCAACATGCTGTCTTTGTTGCCATTTTTCATTTTTCCTGTTGATGCAGGTGTATTTTAAAATAAATTCCAGAGTTCATATCTTTTTGCTCTTACATGCCTAACTAAGTATGGATTCCTAAAAAATACTGAAATTCTAATTCATTATGTAATTCCATTATCACAATCGACACAATTACTAATATTGTCTTGGTATCATCTAAACCTAGGTTATTTTCAGATTTTTTCATTTTGTTTCAATCTATTATGCTGTGTGGAAAGAATGGAGAGAGTTCTTTTGCTGTCATAACATAAAACTCTACTGTATATACTTGTAATATGCTCATGATGTTTTATTTCATGTCATTATTTGCTACTTTAGTGAACTTGATTCATGTGGGGTACATTACGGCATCTTGGAACAATCACAATTACCTAAAATATTCCTCAGACCCATAGACTTACATAGGTCTGTCTTGAACTGTTTGAAAACTATTGCCATGTAATTTTGTTCATGTCTGTAACTTCACTTGATTATAGGTTATTATTATTGACATATACCCAGTAGTCACGCAGGATGCTCACACCTGGTGTACAAATGAGGACATGTAGATGGCAAAGTAAAACACATTTTAATAAGACAGTAGGCCTAAACAACTTGTTATTGGGTGGTAAGCAGTTAAAATATTTTAGTCATGCTATTTTTTTTTTCTTTTTACCATTTTTGAGTCAGAGATAAATTATTTCATTTTTCACCTAATACAGTATGGAGCTTTAAGATATGGAATTGATCATAATGGGCTACAATGATGCAGGATTTTAATAGTTTCAGAATGAAAATTTGGAGTGTAAGGGAGACAGTAGTCATGGAAATAATATTATCTTTAAAAAATTTATCATTTTAAAGTTACTAGTTTTTGAAACTAGTACTTGATTGAAGCCATTATTAAGTGTAACCATCACTGTCTTTGCAAATCTCTGTTTCCAGGTGCAGTATATAAACCCCATGGCTCCAGAAACTGTGAGCATAGTAGAGTCAATGGCAGGATTATTTGAGGGCTCAGCAGAGATGTCTTCTGACCTGTACTCACTTGCTTCAGTTATATATAACAGTCATCCACATAATTACTTTCCTGTGAAGGGCAGAGCTGAAGACCAGCCTTCAACATTTGGTAGGTACATTTTTTTGTTCTGTGTGAAATGTATTTAAACCACCAGTACTAGCTAGCACAGATATGAACCTTAGCTCAGAGTTCAACCCAATTATTAATGGTCCATGGGCTGGAGTCAGATTTTTTTTCTTTAACTGTTGGATAACCTCATGCGGCAAATGGAAATGCCACACACGCAGGAGCTGGCCCCTCCTAACCCATCTGACCTTCCTCCAGAGAAAGTAGCACCCGGGAGTCTCCAGCCAAGCTGCAGAGACAATCAGTTATTACAGTTGCCAAAGCAGGTGTGATGGGAAAGGATTAACATATCTTCAAATCATTCACAGGCCTCACACTCTCTGCAGCTTTTGACTAATAGGTTTTCAAATGTCACTGAAGGTAAATAGGTCAGAAAGTTACAACTCTAGTGCATGGGGTGATCAACAGGTGGAGGTGACCTCAGTGACGTGGTGATGTCATTAGTGCATACACTTACTCTTCAGGGTCAAGGGATCTTATTGTTTCTATAAGGAGAATGTCATATATAGTGAATTAAAAATATTTGGTTAGAAGAAAGAGATCTAAATTATCTGTTTTTTTCTAAAATGCTAAGTGAGAAAAAAGGTTTTCTCTTGTTGCTTTTTCTCTAATTTGGTATTTGTTCCCTTCCAAATTAAAATGTTATATTGATGGTGGAATTTGCAAAAGTATCACATTGCATTCAATATATGCTTATTTCATTTACTGACATGTTTTTCCTGAGCAAAGAAGACAATTTTTAGAAGACACTAAAAATTAAGAGGCCCATGATTTCTGATACAGATTTTTAAAAAAATATTTTCTTTGGCCTAAAGCACTAATTATCACTGTTAGAAGTGCACAGTCTAAATAAGTTAAAAAAAACAACTAACTTATTTTTTGAAATAGGGATTTTTTGAAATCCTTGTCCAGACCTATTAATGTGGCAGTTTTATAAGCATGTTTGCTTTAAATCATTAATGGATTTTTTAAATGTGTGGTGAATTTTGAGTCCAAATAAAATCTTATTTCCATGATTTTTATATCATAATGCAGCATTGACTTATGATATTTCAATTTGATGTTATTGCCCAGTTGTTTTTTAGGAAAAGAATTCCTAACCTGTCTTTTTTAGAAAGTTATGTTTTTTCAAAACACTAATCTCTTATTCTGGGATAGTGTATAACAGCTAGCAAAACTATATTATGAGCACAAAATGTCTATATATGTTACTGGAGTACATTCAGTATATTTATTATTAATTATGTATCTACCTTTCATATAAGGGATTACATGGAGAGATTAAGGGATACTGTGAAATTGGGTTTAAAATTTCACTGTGGAAGCAAAAATGATTTTGATCACAAAGCCAAATATTTGTTAAATGTTTTAAAAACTGATTTCAAATAGGAACTTCAAGGAATCAGTATATCACTGACATTGCTGCTCAACAGCTGTCCTACGTTATCAGGAGACTTGTACCTTTCACTGAGCACATGATTAGTGTATCTGCTTTCACCATCATGGGAGAAGGACCACCAACGGTCCTCAATGTTAGGACACTTGAGCAAGGTAAGAATATATTTCCTTTGAAATAGTTACCTGCAGATATTGCTCTGGTACATTATAATACTTTTCATTCATACTAATTTTTCATTCTTCTTCTCAAGTGCCAAGCTCCATTCAAGTTATAAACTATAAAAATATTAGTTCTTCATCTATTTTGTTATATTGGGATCCTCCAGAATATCCTAATGGAAAAATAACTCATTATACAATTTATGCAATGGAACTGGATACAAACAGAGCATTCCAGATGACTACTGTAGATAACAACTTTCTCATAACAGGTAGAACAGAATTTTGTTTTGACATTCTTATCCTGATGGAAAATGCACATCTCTCTATGCCATTAAACACTGCGGGGTACATGTTGCATCATTGCAGATTTTGTTGTGCTATGCTCCCATGGATATCTTTAAAAATACTTGCAGAAATAACTTCATTAAATGTTGTTTTTCTTTCACTATATTTATCTGCAAATAAAGTCATCAGACCACAGGTATCCTAAGAATATACTTGACCTATGGAATTTTATGCCTGGTACGTCAAAATAATTCCGTATTGAAGGCTTGATTGACTGGATGTGACCATCAGCTGAAGTAATTGAGCTGACGTGGTATTTGTGCCAAATCAGCTACATTCCTTGCAGTGTGCCAAAAATTGTTTTTTCAGTCTCAGACCATTGCCTTGATATTTTAGGAGAGAACTAAAACCTCATCAAGATGGAAGGCTCTCATACCAAGGAAGTTTGGGAGACTGGGATTATAGGAGACTGATTTAGAGAACCAGTCTCCCAGATAAGTTATTTTCGCCAGTCTTGTGTTAAATGGCACTAATCCAGGAATAGTATTCTAGGGACTTTGAACAAATGGCCTATTTTCCTTACAGGGTTAAAGAAATACACAAAATATAAAATGAGAGTGGCTGCCTCAACCACTGTTGGAGAAAGTTCTTTGTCCGAAGCAAATGACATCTTCGTGAGAACTCCAGAAGACGGTAAGAATGTTAGGTGCAGCTTTAATAAAAAGAAGCAAGTGGTGTTGCATGCTTACTGTCATATACCTCATGCTGCCTTTAGTGTCTGAAGCAATAAACATGAAAAAATACACATATTTGTTTTTTCCCCCAGAACCAGAATCGTCACCTCAAGATGTTGAAGTTACCGATGTTACTGCTAGTGAAATAAGTTTGAAGTGGTCACCACCTCAGAAACCCAATGGGATTATTGTTGCCTATGAAGTGCTCTATAGAAATGTAAATACCTTATTCATGAAGAACACCTCAACAACAGACATAATTTTAGGGGAGTTAAAACCTTACACCCTCTATAACATTTCTGTAAGGTCGTATACCAGATTTGGCCATGGTGATCAATTATCTTCTATACTTTCTGTGAGGACTTCTGAGACTGGTAAGTTTTTTTCCCATACATATTAGTGAAGTAAACATGGCCAATAATTGTCATATTGTTTTATATTTTATATGACCTGAAGTCTGTCATTCTGTTCTGTATAATCCAGGAATTTATATGATCTTTGTGGGAAGGTGTGGGAAAAGACTTGCTGTGTAAATTTTTAAAATCTGATTTACATATAAGGGAACTCTGGAATAAAAGTCAGTGTTTTTTTTCCCCAAAGGAAGTACCTTGAGACATCAGAAGTCCTTTCAATGTACCTATAAATTAGGTTACTTTGAAACTAGGAAATAGCAGAGACACATTCCATAAGAATAGAATGCTATACTACCTATAATCTTTATAAATTCTGTATACATCCATATGCATCTATCTATACATATATATTTATATATATATATGTATAGATGTGTGTGTGTGTATATTAGTCACTCAGTCGTGTCCAACTCTGCGACCCCATGGACTGTAGCCCACCAGGCTTCTCTGTCCAAGAGATTCTCCAGGCAAGAGTACTGGAGTGGTTAGTATGCTGTAATGTTCTTTATCTTTCTGGCTTACTTCACTCTGTATAATGGTAATAATAACCCTATATGCAAAACAGAAAAAGAGACACAGATGTACAGAACAGACTTTTGGACTCTGCGGGAGAAGGCGGGGGTGGGATGTTTCGAGAGAACAGCATCGAAACATGTATATTATCTACAGTGAAACATATCACCAGCCCAGGTTGGATGCATGAGACAAGTGCTTGGGCCTGGTGCACTGGGAAGACCCAGAGGGATCGGGTGGAGAGGGAGGTGGGAGGGGGGACCGGGATGGGGAATACATGTAACTCCATGGCTGATTCATGTCAATGTATGACAAAACCCAGTAAAAATATTGTAAAGTAATTAGCCTCCAACTAATAAAAAAAAAAAACGAGTACTGGAGTGGGTTGCCATTTCCTTCTCCAGGGGATCTTCCCGACCCAGGGATTGAACCCACATTTCCTGCACTGCAGGTGGATTCTTTACTGTCTGAGCCACATATGTAAAGATGTAAGTAGATATGAATCTATAGATGTATAGCCCAGGTATCCTGCATTTCAGGCAGCTTCTCCACCATCTGAGCCACCTGGGAAGCCCATAGATGTATATAGACTTACTACATGTAAATTCGATACAAATTCTATACATCTCTCTATGCACGTGTGTATATCTATGTATGTTCTTGAGGTGTATATCTAGGCAGAGGTGTAGAGTCTGAGCACAGAAGGACATGCCCGGGGAAGCCTCACAGAGGAGGTAGCATTGGACCTTAATCTTAAAGAGTCAGGTGGAATGGACATTATATAGGTTGTTGTGGCCAGGGTGTGCATCCCATATAAATGAAATAATGTAAGCAAAGAATTAATTGTGTTTCAGTTTCAGTGTACAAGAACAAATAGCACAAAGTAAGACATTTGCCTGATGATCTTAGTGCATTGTTTATATTATGCTTATAAACATATATTGGAGCATCACTTTTAGGCCAACTCTAAACTAAATGTAAAGTTACTATCTTATCTCCCTACATTTTAAAAAATAAATATTTGTTGACTGGCTTAATGACTGTTCCTATACATCATAATTGTCTAAATATCAGCAATTTCATATGGTTCATCCAGATGCTGTAGGTGAGGCCCTGTCTCTGACCTTGAGGAATCAGGGATCTAGTAAGCCAGCTTACCTTTGGGCAAAAGTACTCTCTTGAGACTGGTCACAGAAATTAATAAAATAAATTGATATAAAATTGACCATAGAGGATGACACATACGGTAAAGAATCCATCTGCAGTGCAGGAGATCTGAGTTTGATCCCTGGGTCGGGAAGATCCCCTGGAGAAGGGAATGGTAACCCACTCCAGTATTCTTGCCTGGAGAATTCCATGGACAGAGGCACCTGGGGGGCTATAGTCCATGGGGTTGCAAAGATTCAGACACAACTGAGCAACTGACACTTTTTTTTTCACTTTTCATCCTCTTGAGACTGTCACATAAATTAATAAAATGAAATGACATAAAATTGACCATAGGGGATGACAACAGTTGTAATGGAAGGAATGAGTAATGAAAAGAGCATTTCTTTTAAATCATCATCAATTGTATATTATGGTGCAAAATCATTGTTATTATATATTTTAGCATGCATCATTGCTTTTGTAAATATATGGAAAATGAGAATTTTTGAGAAAAGTTTCTACCTGGTTTCATTTTACAGCACGTCAAGGAAAGAAACATATTTTAAGTACCTGCAGCATATTCTTCTATTGACTTTCACAAAAAATGCCTTTTTAATTCTACAATAAAGCAATAAGGTATTATTACCTGCATTCCTAATGAAAAACTGAGGTCTATGAGGTTCATCTTTTCAACAAATATTGAGCAAATAATTTATACTATAGCAGCCTTTACCTGGGCTCTATTAGCACTGTACAAGAAAATGCATTTCCACCCTCCTAAAGTTAATATTAATTACTGGGTGTTTGACAGGCAATGGAATCTCCATCAATGACTTTTCCTAGATCCTGTCTACATCGCCAATTTGAGTTCTTTTTGCAACAGAGGTAGCTAGAATTTTAAACATAGTCTCAAGATGTCATTTGAAGCAGGATGTGCTCAGAAGCAACTCTTTATTCCCAGGGATCAATGTTCTTGTTAAATACAATAAACACACCCTCTACCCTTTCTCTAAAAATCAAGATCCCACTTTTCAATATTGTTTCATGAGAAATTGAGAGCTGTGCTAACTCAGCTAACTACAGCTAATTAATACTGTTAATGCTGCTAATTACAAATAGGAGTAAGTTATTTGTTCAGATGTTTTATCTTGATTGGGGAATTAGAGTTTAAAATGCTTGAAAGTAAAATCCTCATGTTTAAGCAGGAAAAATCAATATAGGATAGATCTTGTGTGTGTGTTTTAAGTATAGAATGTGTACTTAATAAACAAATGAGATTAGTTTATACTTTCTCATACTTAGGGCACAGTAACCACGTAAAGAATTTTAAGTTCCCATACAGATTATCCTTTGATGATCTATATATGTATATTTTCTTTCCTTTCCTTTTTTAAGACATAATTTTCTTTACAGTAAGCCTTAACCACTGCCTTAAGTAAGTCTGAATTGGGGCAATAACTACTAGGGGATTGTAACTTAGTTGTTGATCAAAACTTTTTGTGGGATGTATAAATTTATTCATGTTAATGAAAGGCATTTTATTACTTTCTCTATGTTACATTAAAACTATCCATGCCAAACAATAATCTTCTGGCGTACTCAAGATAACATCCCACTATTTTAGGATGATCATGAACTAAATTGTTCTTTATTTTTAGGTTCTAATAGCTTCAGCTTATTCCAACTGACATAATAATTACTTTTCATTCATGAGTTATCCATTTTACATGCTACTTCTACAATTGGAAGCACCATGCTATTTCAGAAAAATTTAAATATGTGATTACTCTTCAAAATCACCAAGTCATTAAATCTGTCTTGCTTTATTTTCCCTGAAGATTCAGCATGGGTTATCCCCTAAGGAGAAATGAATAAAAATGCATAGGATATAAGCCTGGGGTCAGGGCTGCATATTTATATCCTGACTGCTGGTGGTAGGCAGGTAAATCCACAGGGATGAGTTAGTGAATTCCAATGAGAATTTTTCAAAATCACAAGTTATACTGATTTATAAAGTTCAAGCCAGCATCACTAATTCCTTTTTTCCCTTGTAATTAAAGAGGTATTCAATTCAATGTCACTTACTTAGATGTAAATTACTTTCCTTAGCTGTAAGTTTACTTTCCTTAGATGTAAATTTCTCCTTTGTTTTAAATATATTCTGTACCATCTTGAGCATAGGTTTTCATTCACTGAACAAACTTTGTATGGATTCCTTATCACGTACTACCACTGAACCAGCCACTATAGTTAAGCAGTAAATAAGGCAGGATTTCTGTCTTTCTGAAACTTAATATTCTAGAAGGGTCAGAGAAGATAAACTAGTAAACAAATAATATATATAATTTTTGATACTGGCAAATTCCTTGAAAAAAAATCAGGAAAAGAAAAGAGAGAAGAATGAGCAGGCAATTTGAGATGGAAGACTGAGAAAAGGCCTCCCTGAGGAGGTTATATTTGCCTAGAGATATTAGTAATGTGTGAGATTTATGTAGATGAGGATAAGGAAGAAAATGTTCCAGAGGAGGAATAGCAATTGCCAAGTTCCTGAAGAGGGAAAGCACTTGATGTGTCTGAGGAAGAGGAGACCATTCCTCTCATTTGAGCAGTGTGAGCTACAGGATAGAATTAGCAGATGAGGAGGGAGAGAGAGAGGCAGAGGTGGGCCATGCCTTCGTGGGTGCCATACTAAGGAATGTGATGTGTAATTTTAATGTGAAGCTATTGGAGAATTAGGTGATGATAATTTGATATGTTTTGCAGTTTTAGAAGATTGCTTCTGGATATATTGGATGTGGGAATAAAGAGGAAACTCAAGAGTTACTATTAGGTTTTTGGCCTAAGCATCTTGGTGAATGAGGTGCCATTTACTGAAATGAGGAAGTCTGGGGAGGAGATCAGGTTGGAGAAATCTTAGGAGTTCATGTTTTGAACATGTTTGAAATACTCAAGTGCCTGTCGTGAAGGCACTTGGGCATGTAAATTTAAAACTCTTGGAAAGGATCCAGGGTTGAGTATACAATCTGAAAGCATCACCATATGTTGGGGGAGTGCAGACAGAGTTGAAAAGAAGCATGCCGCCATGTCCTCAGGTGAGAGGACGTGGAGACTTTGGGAAGTCGAGGAGGGGCCAGTCAAGGACTAAGCAGGAGTGTGGCCAGTGAGGTCGGAGGAAAGTCCGGAGAAGGTCTCGTTTTGGAAGTCTAATGAACAGATATTTTAAATTAGAAGCAATTTGCTTCCTATGTCAAGTGCTACTGAGAAGGAAGTGATGGTGCTTTAGTCACTAAGTCGTGTCT